TTCTGCAGCTTTCCTACCCTTGAGCTTCCTTCCATGTCAGAGAGGTATCACAAAGAAACTCAGTAGTCCATCTGCATTTTATTTCTTGTCGTTTATTAGCACAACCATACTGGTTTGAGAGCTCTGCCCATCCCTTAGTATAAAGCATCCAAAGTGGTTGGAACAACTGGTGGAAAAATAATAAACATTTTCAGCTGCAGTTGTTCAGATTCTGGATGAGTTGTTTATAAATGTCTTATCTAGAACTGTCAGGAGGTGGAGCTAACATCACTGAAAGATGATAAATTCTGACATGGTGCTCTGAGATTTCACTGCCACTGAATGTAGGTTAATATGGGATTCAATAGGAAATCTGGCTTGTATATTGCTACATATTACAGGAAACGAAGGAACTTGTCATTTGTCTGCAGATTGCTAATTGCAGTTTATTGCACATGCAAAAGGTTAATTTGGGTATGTTATCACAGTAATCACATGCACTGTCTCAGAATAAACTATACTTCCAGTCTTATTGATGATGGGGCCTGTGGGATTTTGGACATTATTTTGTAAGATTATGGCAAATACAAATTTTACAGTAAATGCTGTAACAGTAGGCAGCAGTGTCCTTAAGTGTAAACAACTGGGATAGAGTGAAGTTGCAAGTCTCTGGTATGAAACACTTTTCCTTGACCCTTAATTTACTTATTCCCTGAGCTGCATGTAATTTATTCTTTGTGATGATACATTGAAAACAGAGGTCTCATCTATTCTAAATGAAAATTAGATCCTATTCTTATCATTGCTAATGCTTTGTATTTAGAGTAGTATTTAAAGGCCTCAGATTAATTCATGACCTCATGCTAGGTGCTGTACATATACATACAGTAAGCTCACTGCCCCAAAGACCTTACACTTTAATTAAATAAAGGTTGGAGGAAGGAAGTTCTATTACCTCTGTCACAAATGGGAAATGATAACAGAGAGAAACTAAAAGGACTGAGAATTACGCTGCTCCTGCAATGAGTCCTGTATTTGCCTGTAATATATCCTCCCTTCCTGCTTTTGTTAAGTTGCTATAAAATGGTAGCTAGATGGTTGGTCTCTCCCCCAGAGATGGAGTTTACTATAATTCTGCACGTTTCAAGGTTTCATGGAATGAAAGGTGTTATGTAGGTAGATAACACTTTAATTTAGATCTGATTAAGTTATTCTGAAGAAATACTTCTGTGGAGTAGATTCATGTGAATCTTGTGTGCATTGCTTGTTGCCATATGAGCACACTATTGCATAGATTCTGTGTTCCTGGGGGGGCTGCCCTGTTGATACATGCGTGTTTTAAGGTACATCAGTATAACTTTTTCATTGTTACTATTATTATTCCCTGTAGTTTGCTCTTAAATGTTTTCTGAAATAGTAAAAAAGCAATAGCCCTCAAGATGTTGGACCATTCCACAGGATTTGTAGGAGTCTTGAAACACCAGTGCACGCTTAGTCTCCCAGAAATGCATCTCCTTCTCGCCCTGCCGCCGGAAAGCATCATGCTTATTCTGAAATGCATTTTAAACATTTTTAATCAGAACTTCTAGCTTAACATTAAAAAATAAAGCTAGATCAGCATGGAATTTTGCTTTGAGAAAATTTTTCCCACAGAGGAACAAAAACCTGAAGATAACTTGTTTTCCTTTTTCTCCTTAGTCAGTACATGGATGTTCAGTACAGTACAGTGATCTTGGGCAGAAACACAATCAAGAGTTTAAGCAGATGGGGTGGGAACAGGGAGGGATTAAAAAAGGGGATAGTATAAGTTAGGAGAATAAACAAAACAAAGAACGGGCAGAACCCAAGCACAACTCAACCACTCTTCTCATATCTTTGCATTTCAGTATTTATGACCCTCCCTGTTGGACTTCAACAACAGTAATCCTCTATATTGACGTGTCTTTCCCTCATCTCTGTCCTGTCCTGCCCCTATCTGGTAAATGGGTACAGTTACTTTCTGTCTCACAGATTTTAGAGTCCTGAAGTTAAAAAGACTGCAAAGCAGCAGCCTTTTCATTTTTATTTTATTTAATAATAAAGACCATTATTTTTATTGCTGTCAAAGGTTCTGTCCATCTGCTTTTTCTCTGTTTAAAAAAAAAAGATGCTTGATGCTGAAAATAGTTAAGGGCCTTCTGGATCCTTGAGCACTTTTAAGTAACCTCTCATGTACCCCCTATGGAAACCATCACTGCTGCCTATGGGAGTAAAGCGTAAATTTGTAAAATAAATAATTTTTTAAATATGGAACTACAGAATTCCCTCAGTTGATGGGACAAGGCAAGCACTTAAGGAAGCACATCACCGGTGTATACTCTTGCTAGAAAACAATCCACTGGAGCTTTGTTACAAAACCTGCAAACATCCTGAGGAAGTGACAGTAATTTGCAATAAACACTGCGTGTAAACAATTACCTGTGACTTGTTACACTTGTTTGTACAGGCAGCTGGCTAAACAGATCTGTGTGCACTTGTAAACGTCTGTCCCTGTCAAACTTGATACTGGAAAACAATTACTATTTGATTTCTCTGAAGTAAGAAAAAGTCAAGTCTTTTGTAGCCGGCAGCTGGCACGGGCTAAGTAAATGTGGGTGCTTACAGATAGATGAAGAAAAGCTGGAGAAATAAAATGCGATGGTGGTGTTTTTATGAGAACGGTGAGGACGCTTTCATGTCCAGTCACCAGACTGAAGGAAGGTTTCTGTGACAGGGTACTTGATGAAAAAGCTGTTTTTACTGGTCGAGGGCTCCCGTGGTGGCAGAGAGGTGCAAGCAAGCGATGCGGTCACGCAAGGTCCAAAGAAGAGGCAGGGGTGATTTATTTTCTAGTCGTTTAGCAAAATGGATGTAAGACGTTGGTGAAGTTACGCTAGAGCAGTTATGCGTGATGCATTCCTCCCCGTCAGACTCTTACGAAACAGAAACGCTGAAGTTGCAAGGCGAGGGAAGCCGGGGAGCGCAGGATTTGCCAGTCGCGCTGCGGACTCTGAACTGATAGCTGTCACCCCGCTCCATCCCCACGTCGGCCAGCCCGGCGGGCGGGCGGCGGAAGTCACAGGCCGGGCTTTAAGGCCCGCGCAGCCTGAAACACGGCCGCACTTGAGCAACTCGCCACCCCCTCCGCAGCGCCCAGGATGCACCGAGCCCACAGCGCTGCCGGGGCAGGCGCCGGGGGGCGCGGCTCCCCCGCCGGGGCTGGCCCCCG